ATATATATATATATATATATATATATATACGTATTGAATTAAACGCTGGGTTTTAAATCAAGGGGTGCAAAATAAGTTTCTTGTGAGAGAATTTGCTAATGAAAATAAATGCAGGTAAGTGTAATGTTTATGTGGACTTTGGTAAAGATACGATGGCATTATTTAGATATCATATTGTGTCATTAATGATTTTATTTGTCACTGTGATGATGCAATTGTGCCCCTGAATCTGATTTAGGTGTTGCGGGTTGGGAGAGAAGATGAAGAAAGTGGTGGGAATGGTGGTTTCGAATAAGATGCAGAAATCAGTGGTGGTGGCAGTGGATAGACTATTCTACCACAAACTGTATGACCGATATGTCAAGCGCACTTGTAATTTATGGCTCATGATGAGCACTATCATTGTAACATTGGTGACCGAGTTAGTTTTGTCAACATAACTGCCGAGTTCGATTCTTTTTTGCTTTTTGGCTTGCTTGGTTCAACTATTGGTTTTGCAAGAGGGCTCAGTAAGTGATTGCTTTTGCGATTGTTGTTTCAGGTTCGGCTGGACCCTTCTAGGCCTTTGAGTAAGCATAAATATTGGGTGGTTGCTGAAATTCTCAAGAAAGCGCGTATATATGTCCCGCCATTGATGCGGGTGCCTGAGAATGTGAGCTCAAGCATTGAAGCACCTGCTTCCTGAATTGGCTCAAGGTATTATAAGCTATCTTGGTTGTCATATCTACATAAGTTGTAGCTGTTGGTATTGAAGTGAAACTTGAATAAAGTTAAGCTGAATGAGTTGATACTTGATAGTTTGCAACCTTATTCAAGTTACTCATGTAGTAACTGTAATGTCAAAAAAATAGTTCTTATGTGACAGATTTTCTACTGTAGTCTAATGCATTTAATTGACAGTGTAGTTACTGCAGTATATGATAGTATGCATTTCTAGTGACTTCCAATTTTAAGTTGCATGCTTTTGCATCTTGAATTTTCCTGTGCTGATGTGTTAATTTGCTTAGTATAATGGAAATGTAAACATGAACATTTTCTGTTTTTATCATCTTAGAAGTAATTTGAAATGTTCTTTATTTGCCATTCTTAGTTCGTTTCTAATTTTTAATGGAAGGAGAAATTTTAGTGTGGGGTGTTCTAAGGTTGATTGATTAGCTTGTATCTTGACAGGTTAAATAAATCTACTGCAATTATACATTCAGTCTAATTAAATTTAAATGTCAAGGCTGCTGTGTTGTATGATCTTTATTGCCAACATGCCATCTGGGCAAATGGATCATAGTGTAGAGCAGATATAAAGGGGAATTTGTTCTCATGATTATGTTATGTATTTTGTGATTGATTTCTGATTTTCATAGCAATAATATTATTACATGCATTATCTGTATAATTTTTACTTCCCAAAAAGAAGGAATAGCTTCAATTTTCATTATTGTGTAGGAAACTAATGCAGAAGATATACATTGTATTGTACTTCTTTCAACCGACTCTTTATTATCTACTCCCACCCAGAATGGTCCTTGTAAAAGAAAATGGAGGACCCAGTAGTAGGCTAAGAGATTTATGATGTGGCAGGGAAAGTATTGAAAGCTGGGATGAGATCATGGATAGAATCATGATCCAAAAAGCAATGTTGGCGCAAATTGAAAGATGCAAACTGAGCTGGGTGCTTGATTATTGAATAATGATCCTGATTCCTGACTAGAAAAAAGTTTTGAATAATGATGAGTACCAACCTTAGTTAACTGTGAATACAGATGATGAATGCACAGTCCTAACTCTTACCCTCTGTTTGAATGGAAAGAAAATTGAGATTTTTTTCTTAAAGTCAACCTTTTTCTTTTCCTCTTAAATAAAAGAGTATCCTCTCTCTCTCTGTCTCAAACATATATTAAGACATGCTTGATTTTGACATTAATATATAACGAGACAAGACAACCTTTTCTCCTATATTCACTCTGGATTTAAGTAATAAATCATGTCTTACATTAAACTCACAAGTGCTTAGGTATCTTAAGTTTCACATTGATAAATGGATATTACCATTTGCAAACTTAGAGGTGGTGTTAAAGTGTCACTTTAGAATCGCTCCATTAGTGTTATAGCTGTGTTACCGACTTGCAATTCTTTTTTTTTTTTTTTTGTTGGTGGTGGGGTGGAGGGGAAGATATAGTACTGCAATGTCCTGATCAAATTGTTGGAATCAGTGTTTTAAATACTGAATAGGAAATTAAGCCTAGACAAATTCGTTTTTTTTTTCTTTTTTTCTTTTTCAAATGCTGGTTGTAGTTATTCTGCAAGGAATTTTAGAGAGATAGATTTTGGATCGTATCACAAAATGATGCATAATATAACATATTCTCATCACACTATTTACTTTAGGAATATCTTAGAATGTGTGTACCTGGAGGGAAACACATTCATGGTCACGGTCTTAATTTAATCCCATCCCATATAGAAAAGAATAAGAGAAAACTACTGTCTAAGTAGTGGCTAAGGTTATCCCTGAATAGGGCATACTTTTAAAACTGACTAATGGAGCAATAGTTTTGTTGTCAAGTGAGATGAGAACAAGGACTCATCCTAGGTCAGTCATATTAAAAGCCCAATAGTAAATATGCTTTACATAGTCTAGTGTTATGATTAAATAATAATGACCATAATTGATATGTTAATTCAAAGATCTTATTCTAAATAATTGATTAATGATAATCCACAAATAAATAATCCAACATATTCTTATTCTTTTTAATATATTTCAATGTTACAGTTGGATTCATTTGGCAACAATCAATTATATCCCTTGAGTAGGATGCAAAGGATTGTTAATTCATTTCCTCTCTTGGAGTTGTATAAAGTTCGTGGGAAGGATTTAAGGTGCTTTCTAAAAAAATATGGAGAAGCATATGGTGTAATTGTCTAAAGTCCTTTTGCTTTTCGCTGATAGAAATCATTACTTAATTCTTTTGCACAGGAAATACATAAAACAAACTGTTAATTTGTGTGGCTTTGTTAGCTTCTAAGTTTGCTTTGCATGATTGAGACGTAGATGCTATTGTAGTTGATGATTCCAGTTCCACTCAACAATTGAATAATTACAGCAGAAGATGGATGTATTTGCATTACTCATTTACGTGAAGTAACAAATTACTGTTATTGCAGTGAGACTTAAGGTGTAAAGGACTTTTGATGATGGTATTATCCTGCCATTGAGTGACAAAGTGGTTGTTGGTAACTTGGTTTGGTTGTAGAAAGGGATTTGCACTTATCACTATTGGTGTCTAGTGCGGTAGTGCGAAATGTCATGAAAATAATTTCCATGATAACCGAAAAAGTTATTATAATGTCCTGGAATTTGTACGCGTCCAGAAAGGTTCAACGTTTAAATATTATTTCCTATGTACTGTACCATTATTTTGCTTTAAGTTTAGGCTTTCTAACATCGTCGAATTTGGTATAATTTGTTAAAGCATTTAGTTTTAAAATACCATGAATTCATGATGGTGATGGAGATGTCCTTTTTTTATTTTTTTTTTATTTTTATTTTTTAACTTGGGTTTACAAGTGTGTTCAAGATCGTAAGGGCATACACCTTTTTAAATACAAAGTATAATTTCACACTTAATTTACCAGAGAATCTATTGCAGCATGTAAATATTTTACTTAGTTTCACCTAATCATTCTATGAAATTTTGATTCTATTAGGTGTTGGTACATTTATTTTTAATTCTCTTAATAATTTGACTTGATCCTCTCAGGCTTTCATAAACTTTCGAGATATTATTGCATTTCTTTTTATATTTTTGGGGGAACGGGGGCTGGGTGAGATTCATAAAGTGGATAGAAATAGAGGGAAAAAAATATTGTGAACGAAAAATAAGTAAGAAATAGAGTGAAAAATAGAAGTGATTAGTTTAAGGAAAATAGAAAAGAAATAGCAGAGATAATTTAAAGATAAAGAAAAAGTTATTTTAAAATCAAATGTTGATTATTTTTTAATTTAACTGATTAAATGAAAACAATATATTTTATTTAATTTATTAAATTATTTAAAACAATGAAGGCAGTATAAAAATTGCAGTTAATTGATCATATTCTCATTTCTTTGCCATTTTTTCTTTTTTGCATTTCACATTTTCACGGTTGAAATTACAACCGTGGGTGTCACTAAGTTTTTGTCTCTCTCTTCCCCGTATTTTCTATTAAACATTTTTTTTTTAATTTTCCATTTATTTCTCACCTTCAACTTATGTCCGACCATTTCCCATGTACCAAACGTAAGGGAAATTGCCATTTATCTTCAATTCAAGTGAGATTTACTCGGATGAGTATTTGGCTTAGTTAGCTAATGAATTTATTTATATGTAGAGAATTCAGGAAAAAGTAGTGATATTTATATTAAGAAAAAGGTTTTTCTTTTCTAGGGAAAATTGTGCAATCCAATGATATAAAATTTACAGCTAAAACAAGTGAAGTAAACTGCAAGTGAACCCAAGCCGAGAAACATTTATACACTTTTACATTTTGAGATGTATTGAAATAAATGAAAACTTTATTCACGTACGTTAAAAATTAACTTGTGTAGCATACTCATTATTAGATTTATTTTTGATTCAGATTTCCTTGTGATTATAGTTGGGGTACAACAATACAAGTTCACCTGTATCAAACAATATATCTATAATTTTTGGAGGAGAGAAAATAAAATGGAGACAAAAACATAAATAATGATATTTTCTTTTGTGAAGTTAAGAGCAAATAAGAAAAACAACTTTCGAAAATTTTTTTTTTTTTTTATTAATTTAAAGTTCATCTCCTGACATTTCTCAGCAGCCCCAACAGAGAATAAAGGTTTGTTCAATATTTTTAATTCTGAATCCTCAATGAATGACAATGCCTAGTTCAAAACGCATTTTAAGGAAAAAAAAAAAAAAACACTGAAAATTGTTGTATGAGCTAATTTTACTTGTATAAAAACAAGTAATGAGAGAAAGTGCAGTGCGATTCGAAGTTGCATGCGTGTAACGAAATGGAGAAGAACACCAAACATTCTGATTCTCTCTCTATCCTGTGTTTTCTTACATTATACTTCACTCTTTGTCTCTTCCTTCCACGGTTGCACTCTTTCGGTTAACAAGTCTCTCACTATTTTTGGCGGGAGCTATGCCCCACCAAATTAAAAACAAACCATCTTTCTCATAAATACAACACCATCCCCTCCACCCTTTCACACACTCATCTCTCTCATAACACACTGCAACTAAACACTCTCATCTTCCCTCAAAACGGCGTCGTACCATTCACCATTCCCTTAAAGACACAAGAATTCCTCAATGACACTCTCTCCCTTTCTATTTCTCTTTCTCCTTCTAAGCTTCTGCTTTTTCTTCACTCCGGCGCTTTCTCTCTCCTCCGACGGCCTCGCCCTTCTCGCTCTTAAATCCGCCGTCGACCAACCCTCCGCCGCCTTCTCCGACTGGAACAACGGCGACCCCACGCCCTGCGCCTGGTCCGGAGTATCCTGCGCCAACATCTCCGGCCAGCCGGAGTCCCGCGTCGTCGGACTCTCCCTCGCCGGAAAATCCCTCTCCGGCTACCTCCCCTCGGAGCTCGGCACGCTCCGCTTCCTCCGCCGCCTCAACCTCCACGACAACGCCTTCTCCGGCGTCCTTCCGCCGCAGCTCGCCAACGCCACCGCGCTCCACAGCCTCTTCCTCCACCGCAACAACCTCTCCGGCCCCCTCCCCGCCGCCCTCTGCGCCCTCCCGCGCCTCCAGAACCTCGACCTCTCCGACAACGCCTTCTCCGGCCACATCCCCGACGACCTCAAAAACTGCAAGAATCTGCAGCACCTAATCCTCGCCGGAAACAAATTCTCGGGCGAAATCCCCGCCGGCGTGTGGCCGGAGCTGCAGAACCTCCTTCAGCTCGACCTCTCCGCGAACGAGTTCACAGGCTCCATCCCTAACGACCTCGGAACCCTAATTTCCCTCTCCGGCACGCTGAACCTCTCGTTCAACCACCTCTCCGGTAGGGTTCCGGCTTCATTAGGAAAATTACCGGCCACAGTTAGCTTCGACCTCAGAAACAATAACCTCAGCGGCGAAATCCCCCAAACGGGGTCGTTTTCAAACCAAGGCCCCACCGCGTTCCTTGGAAACCCTAACTTATGCGGGTTTCCGCTTAGAAAATCATGTTCCGGTTCGAACCGTGGTTTTTCACCCGGTTCGGACCGGAACCAACCGGTTAACCGGTCTAAGGGGTTGAGTCCCGGTTTGATTATTTTGATCTCAGTGGCTGATGCTGCTGTAGTGGCCCTCATTGGGCTTGTGATTGTTTATGTTTATTGGAAGAAAAAGGATGATGAGAATGCATGTAGTTGCATTAGGAAGAGGAGTTTCGGTGAAGAGAAAGGGGGTGCGTGTGTGTGTGGTGGGTTTTCATGTGTGAGTGGTTTGAGGAGTGAAGATGATGACGATGATGATGAGGTGAAGGGTGAGGGTGAGGGTGAAGGGGAATTGGTGAGGATTGATAAGGGTTTGAGTTTTGAACTTGATGAACTGTTGAGGGCTTCGGCTTATGTGTTGGGGAAGAGTGGGTTGGGGATAGTGTATAAGGTGGTGTTGGGGAATGGGGTGCCTGTGGCTGTGAGGAGGTTGGGGGAGGGTGGGGAAGAGAGGTATAAGGAGTTTGCTGCGGAGGTTCAGGCCATTGGGAAGGTCAAGCACCCTAATGTTGTGAGGTTGAGGGCTTACTATTGGGCGCATGATGAGAAGCTTCTCATCAGTGATTTCATCTCCAATGGCAACTTGGCACATGCCCTTAGAGGTTAGTTCTTTTCTTTTGGTTTCATTGTTTTTGTTCATTGTTTATTTTCGTTTTGTTGGTTATGTGTTGAAGACAGGGGATATGACTCAGTGATATTGATAGGTATCAGTGATAAAGTGCAAAGAAATAATTAATTTATTAACTAACAATGTGTGGATCATTTGAATGTGATGTTAATGATTTTATATGATAATGTCAGCATTGAACACAGGAATTTTGTGTTCTGTTGTCCATGTGAATAATAGATTAGCTTTAATTTCTTAGCCTAAAAAACGAAATTTATTTAATTATTTTAAGCGGGAGTTCGTACTATGACTTATAAAATAGGATTTGAGTTTTGTGTCAACTATTTTTTCCTTCATCTTGAAATGGTTCACATTTATAAATGGTATATATTCTATAATCTGTTGTTTCTCAAAAAGTATATATACTCATTTTGTTGTGATCCGTGAATGAGTTTGTTCGGCATGGCAACATCTGTTTTTCACGGTATAGTATGCATGAGTTAATTTTATTTTGTTAAGTATGTATAGAATTTTTAAATAAGATTGGTAGCTATAAAGATAATCTTTGTTAAGAAACCTTCTGTAAAGTTGCTTTCCTTATAATTTTTTGTTCTAACTTTGAATATCACTTCGTACTTCTCGTGATATAGGAAGGTGTTTTCACCTAACTAGAATATTCTTGTTTGATAGACCTAACAGAATATTTGTTCCGAATGTCTTTCGTATATGTTGTAAAACAGCTGTATAAGATTTCCATGCATAGAAATTAAGAAGGAAATTGGATTTGGACTTTTTGTCTTTTGCCTTGTGGATGACGCTCGGGGTGGGGGATATGCCACCTGGTAGAACAAAAGACAATTGTGTTGGTCCAGCATGTGTCTGGGAGATGAAGTGACATGGCACACGCTCTTAGTGGGGGACCAAGAACAACTTCTTGTCTTCTAAAGCTTTAATAACCAACAAAACAAAACTAGCATATCGAAGTTCGAGTTTCACTCTTTCTATCCATTTCTTCTCTCAACTGCAATGTTGTTTGTCGTTAAAACCTTTTTCTTTTTAAAACCTTTGTTTTCCTTCTTTCCCAAGACTTTTGAATACTTGGATCCCCTTTTAAACTTTTCTTAGTCACACACCATATCCATATGTTTCAAAATTTGCTTCCTTTAAAATATCTCCAGGGGCATGTTTGTGCCTTTAATTCAGAAAAATGGTGGAATATCTTTAATGAAAATGAACGCTTTTTGTTTCATGATCTATTTTATCTTTTAGGCTGCAAAACTTTCTCCATTATGAAGCATAGTCTCTACCATCTTCGCAACTTTAAACCAGGGTCCCACTAGAATTGTTTTCTTTCTCTTCCCTTCCTTTCACTGCACCTATGTCTCAAGCTTATTATCAGAAGAAAATAATAGTCAACATATAAAAGACTATCTCATGATCTGTATTTGCATTCTGTACCAGATTTTACAAATAATCTTTCCAGTTAAAATTGTCAGCCTCTAACAATCATTCGCTGCACCTAATGCTTTTACTTCACCCAATTTTCCTATGTGCTGCAGGGAGAAATGGCCAACCATCAACAAATCTTTCATGGTCCACCAGACTGAGAATTGCCAAAGGAACAGCAAGAGGCCTGGCCTATCTCCACGAATGCAGTCCAAGAAAATTCGTCCACGGTGACATCAAACCCTCTAACATCCTACTAGACAACGACTTTCACCCCTACATTTCTGATTTTGGCCTAAACCGTCTCATAAGCATCACTGGTAACAACCCCTCCACCGGTGGATTCATGGGTGGAGCCCTTCCTTACATGAAGTCATCACAGAAAGAGAGAACCAACAACTACAAAGCCCCCGAGGCTCGTGTCCCTGGCTGCAGACCCACCCAGAAATGGGACGTGTACTCATTCGGCGTTGTGTTGCTTGAAATACTAACTGGGAGGTCACCAGAATCGTCTCCCACGACATCAACTTCTATGGAAGTCCCTGACTTGGTGAGGTGGGTGAGGAAAGGATTCGATCAAGAAAGCCCTTTATCTGAAATGGTGGATCCATCATTGCTCCAAGAAGTGCGCGTTAAGAAAGAGGTGCTGGCTGTGTTTCATGTAGCACTGGCTTGCACAGAGGGAGACCCTGAGGCCCGGCCTAGGATGAAAACTGTCTCTGAAAATCTTGACAAGATTGGAACGTAATATTTGAGTGTGTGCAGTGTGGTAGCTCTAGGACTCTCAGCCTGAGGCTGGAATTACCCAAAAGATACACTTCAATCTAACGATGCATTTCTGTGGTAAGTGGTAACACACAAGATTTTATGCTAGCATCAATCTAATGGTGCTGCATTCCGTTCCTTCCATCTTGGATTAGCTAGCTCCGTTACATTTGTTTTGGAACTCAAAGAAAGTTTTGGAGAGTTGTAATTATCACGGTCTCACTTACATCCCATTCTCATTTTTTATTGTTTGTTACATATCAGAAATTTGTTAGATATTTTAATTTTTGCCCTGATCTCATTTCCTCCAAAGTTGTTTTGCAATACCACTAACCGTGGATTATCCTTCGAGTTTGCAAATTAATTCAGATGATATTGGGTATGTACGATTGATACTTGTAGGGCCGTATGGGATCTGTGATGATGGGAGAATGTTCAACATAATAAAAACTTAATAAAAGAATAATATGAAAATTAAATCCTCCTACTTGCAAGAATGTACAAGGAGCATCAATAAAATAGAGAAAAAATAGGTAATTCAAACATATAAAAGATATAAAGATTTTTAACGTAAAAAATATTCAATTTAAGGACAAAAGTCACAAGCTATCCATCTAGATCAAAGAAACACTTTACTATGATTAACAAAGAGTACACAAGAATCTCTAAAGAATATATTAAATAGTGCTTATAATCAGACAAAATAAAATCAAACACAATTGTTTACAAATAAGAAATAGGCTAAAAATCTATTTTAGTTCCTTATAATAATTGTTTGTTTCAATTTAGTCCCATTTTTATTTTTGGTCTTAATTTGGTCCCTCATAAGTTAATTGGTTTCAATTTGGGACTTCCGTCTAAATTATTTAAACGGAGTCAACTGTTGGCCACGTGGATGCCACGTAGATGCATACATGGATACCACGTGGACGCCAAATTTTGTGAAAACACCTAGAACCAGAACGGCCCGTTCTGAAACCAGAACGGGCCGTTCTGGATGCACTCTTGGTGTGTTAATTTTGTATCTGAAACGGGCTGTTCTAGATGTAAAATTAACATGCTACCAGTACATCAGAATGGTCCGTTCTGAAACCAGAACGGGCCGTTCTGATTGCAGAACGCGCCGTTCTGGATTCAGAACGGCCCGTTCCAAGACTGAGAATAGAATATTCTTTATTAATTTTATTAAAAAATATAATAATTTTGAAAAATATTTTTTTATGGTAAAAATTTTAAAATTACTTATTTTTATAAAATACAATTGTCTTATAAATAGAGTGATAACTTTTCCTTTTTCTCTTTCTGTCTGAAGAAATATTTAAGTGTCACTTTATAATTTTTTGCAACTTATTTAAAATTAGAGGAATAAAATGATAAAAATTAATAGGATAAACATAATAAAATTATTAATTTATTTTCTTTTAGTGTCCTCTAAATTTTTACATTCATTTAAAACAAAAATATTTTATATGTTAATTTGAATTAATTTAACGAAGTATCATATGATTTTTAATTTTTTAAAAATTTTTATAAATTTGATCTATACATGAAAAACTTTTTAATTTAACAATTAAATTCTTAAAAATTTGATATAGAACATTAATTATTAAATAGAATAAATCTATCAAGACTTACTCTTGAAGTAAGTAAATTTTTTCTTCATTAAAAATGAAGATAATTTTACCACAAAATAAAAAAAATTAAACAATAAAATAAAATTAAAAAAATATTAATATATTTATTATATTAGATATAACAACATAATTAAAATATAATTAATAATATGTATTTTATAAAATTATTAATATTTTATATATAAAAAAAAGAATGAAAAAATTTTTAGTGGGGGCAAATGCCCCCACTATGATTAACTTAGATCTGTCCCTGCATATGGTTGTGGTGAAATATTAGTCTTGTGTATCCTCTTCCTTTACTTCAGGTTCTACCTCTTCAAGAACAGGTTGTTGTTGTTGGGGTCGTTAATGACTTCAAGAAAAAATACTATGTCATTTCATCCTTTACTGTATAGTGTCAATTTGGTAGTAAGTGGTTCACTCCAGTTTGAAATGAAATAAAATCTGCTACCATTGTCTTTAGTGATACATTTCATTGTCCTTAATAATACACTGTATAGCCTAACTGTTTAGTAATTGAAGTTATCAATTCCCATTTACAATATTACCAAATTCAATGTTTGAAATGCTTTGTACCTTGGGTCTTTTTCCTTCCATGATTCACAACCGTGAACTATAATCATTGATCGTTTATGCTTAACAGTCTGGAACCAGAACGGCCCGTTCTGGTTGCACTTTTAGTGTGTAAATTTTGCACCTGGAACGGGCCATTCCGGATGCAAAATTAACACACGAAAAGTGTAACCAGAACGGCCCGTTCTGGTTTCAGAATGGGTCGTTCTGGTTCCAAGTGTTTTCAAAAAAATTGGCATCCATGTGGCATCCACTTATGTATCTATGTGGCATCCACGTGGCCACACAGTTAACTCCATTTAAATAATTTGGACGGAAGTCCCAAATTGAAACCAATTAATTTATTAGGGACCAAATTGAGACAAAAAATAAAAGTGGGACTAAATTGAAACAAAAAATTATTATAAGGGACCAAAATAGGTTTTTAGCCTAAGAAATAAGATGAAAAAACTTTAAATCAAAGTTGTTATTGTGAGATATTTTTCTCTCACTCCAATCTTCTTTTCAAAAATTCAACCGTCGAATATGAAACAACACATCGTACAAACTTGTCCAAAAAATCAATCTAATCCAATGGTGAATAAATCTTCAATTGTAATTCAACAAATGTTGTTTGATGAATATGTGATTGTGAGATGTTTTTCTGTCACTCCAAACTTCCTTTTAAGAAGCCAACCTTCGAATATGAAGTGACATGTCATACAAATTTATTGTCCAAAAATCATCTTGATCCAACGGTGGATAAATATTTAGTTGTAATTCAACAAATGATAAATAAGAAGATAAAAAAACTCTAAAACAAAGTTGTTACTTTGAGATTCTTTTCTCTCACTTTAGACTTCTTTTTAAGAATCTAACCATTGAATATGAAACGAAACGTCGAACAAACTTGTAGTCCAAAAATCAGTTTGATCCAACGATAAATAAATCTCCAATTGTAATTGAACAAATGTTGTTTAACGAATACGTGACCTAAACAATAAAAGCTTCCTTTAATCTCTTCTCTCTATATTTTTCTGTTATTTTTTTTTTTAAAACGAATCACTTTCTTTGTCTTAACTTTACTTCTTTTCACTTAGTTAAGTGAGACATAATGAATTTACACATTTTAGACATATTTTTCCCATAGGAAGGAGCCCAAAACCCAAAATTATTCGGATTTAAAAACCTTATTCAACCCTATTCGTCTATGCTTTCATATTTGGGTCAATGTGTGTTGGGTAGCGAACTAGCAAAGCATGAAAGCAAACTTGAAGATATAAAACAGAGGAAAAGTAACCATGGGAACTCATGCTCTTTGCCTTTGGTAGCAAGAAAAAGAAAGATAGTGCGGAAAAAAATAGAAGGTAGAAAAAAGAGAGAAATGGAGAAGAGATAACTATACAGGAAATTTGGTGAAATTTTAGGTTATAGTTTTTTTTTGGTAAAGGGATTATATAGTTTGAGAAAAATAAAAGGAAAAATAAAATGAAGAATAGGATGTCTCGTTACCTTCTTCGACGTGTACCAATAAAATAAATACTTGTCGATTAGCAATTTCATCTCAGCTTTCAAATAAAATTTATTTTATTCTATTTATTTTTAACTCCTTATTAATTATTCTAAAAAAAAAAAGAATAATTATTAGTTTTAATTCAAAGGATAAAGTTTTAAGATTGGAAAAATAAATCCTACATTTCTTCACGGTGGATGATAGGAGAGTGTAGAAGCAACAGAGGAGATCACCTTTACTACTAAAGCATTTGAGAATTTCTTGTATATATTCAACTTAATAGAATTTTGCCTTGCCTGACAATGCAAAACTCCAAATGCACAAGAAAAAAAATCAAACACATTGAAAAAGTATCATAAATAGACAATTTCATAGAGCTTTGGTGAAATCCATACAAAGAGCTTTGGCTTGGTTACGATGGGTGCCACACAACATGGGGCTCAACGTCACCAAGTTAGAGAGCTCTCGGGACTCCCACATGCAACGCCATTCAACCATGTCTAATGTAGTTCCAACTCGAGATAAATCTCTCTCTTCACGTCCTGCGTTACAAATCCTATGCTTGACGTGATCGAAGTAGAGAGCCCCAAGTTAGAACAATGTTTTACGCATTGAAGGCATACCCAGCGCAACATTAGAATTCTGCATATGCAGTATCCGATTTCGAGCCACAACTTGAAATCCAACAAAGGTTCAACAAATGCAACATTGAACAACAAGTATATGTATCAAAATCAACTAAAAAATGTACTCATATCCGACATGTAACCAAGATTTTGCAAATAATCAACAATTTTTGCTAATAACTCAAAAATCTCATTTCCAACCTTCTCACTTCGATTTCATCAACACAACTGCACACAATCTAGATTTTCACACTACACAAGTCAAATTTTTTCTACCAATCCCCAATTTCATCCAACACACATAAGTTTCTAGCTCCCTTTACCTTGGGCAACTCGGTTCCGAGGTAGAAGAAAAAGAGAACGATCGGGCTCTGCATGAACTCAACCACACGAATCTAGCTACTCTTGTCCTGATTCCAACAAAAACACAACTTAAATGAGATTCAAAGGAAGAAAAGGAGAAAAAAGGGTTCATGGACTAGAGACCTCTCTAGAATCCTCTCTCTAGAAATCTAAGAGAAATAATTTTGTGAGACTCTATTCAAAAAAAAAAAAAATTATATACCATTCCTTTCGAGGTCAAATCGGGTGTTTGCCTAAAGAACCCCTCCAATAACATTGAAGCTCAAAAGGGATCCTTAAATTCTCGAGCCTTTCAACACAAACAACTTAGTTTAACATCATAAAACAACTCGATTTAACTTAGAGTGTTACAATAATTATATTAATTTAACATATTTTTTAGTAATTAATTAATGATTTTTTAAACTTAAACTAAATAATTCAATCATTTGAGTTAACTGTTTGATTTTATTAATTATTTTTAACTATTATTTAGATGAATTATTAGTAGATTAATTTATTTTTTAATTCTTTATAAATAAATATTAAATATATATACTTATGTTAATTTTAACATTTTACATACTTACTAGTAAGTTCATCTTTTTAATTTTTTATAAATCAATTAAGTTATTTGAGTTAATCTCTTATTTTATTTTATCTATAGTTAATCTCTTATTAGATCGTATGTTTTGCATAAATTATTTACAGATTATTTTTTTTCTTCATTTTTTTGGTTAAGAAATGGTAAATAATTATTATTAATTTTATATAAACAGTAAATAATTATTGCAAAATAATCTATGTTAATAATTATTGTAAAAATTATTACTAATTTTTTTAGTAGATGAAATTATTGATAATCATTTTCTATTTATATAAAAATAGTAAAAAAAATATTTACTATTTATTAATAAAAATTTGTAAAACAATTAATTAATCTGATAATAATTAATGTAAGTAATTTGTGGATAAAGTTCTAATCATATAGCAAGAGATGATTAACTCAAATAATTTAAGGTGTAAAAAAAACTCAAATAATTTAATACAAAATATTTTATTAGTGTAAAATATGTTAAAATTAGAAAAAAATTACATACACAAAAAATGTAAAATTTATGAAATTATAAGTACTAAAAAAAATTAAAATAATATTATATATAAGAACCAAAATGAATTAATTATAGAGACTAAAACATAAATTTTATAAAACTATAAAAAGAAAAGTACTTAAATCTTAAAAAAAATTTAACCCACAATTATTTTTTGAATTATTTTTGTATATAATTGATACACAATGTTTTCATCGATCTATCGATATGTTATCAAAAATGATTTAACTAATCAATTAAAATAAAAAAAAAACACTGATTAGTTAATATATGTTGGAATTTGGACTCCCTTCTGTAGAGAATAAATTAAAAATTGTGTAATCTCATTCTGTCCCACTTAATAAATTGGAGAGGGATCTTATTAAGATAGAGAGAAAGTGACTTACTTTGAGAGAAAAAACAACAACAAAATATACAGAGAAGAAAAGTGATAAAGTTTCCTAATTCATGTTACTAGGTAGTGTTTATTGAATTGCAATTGGAGATTTATTCATCATTGGATCAATATGATTTTTAGATAACAAATTTGTACGATGTGATGTTTTGTATTCAACGGTTAGATTTTTAATTTTTGAAGGAAGTATGGAGTAGGAGAAAGTAACAACTCTATTTTAAAAACTTTTCATCTTATTTCTCAATTATATACAATTATGCTCGATTTTGTTTTGTTTGACTGTAAACACTATTTAGTATGTTCTTTAAAAAGTCTTTTTTTATACTCTTTGTAAATTATAATAAAAATTTTTCTTAATTTGGACGACTCTCAATTTTTTCCTCTTACATTAAAGAGTTTTTCACATTAAAAATCTTTATATCTCTTTGCATTTGGGTAACTTGTTTTTCTTCTCTTTTATTGATGCTCTTTGTTAATTCTTGCATAGAAAATTTAATTTCCACTGCATTATTGTTATTATTGTGTTTGATTTTTTTTCCATCAAAATATATTACATTAAAATTAGAGTTATATATATATATATATCCATTATTTATTAATAAAAAGATTATAAAACACAAATTAATCTATAAATAATTTATGTAAATAATTTTGTAAAAAAATTAATTAATCTAACAAAAAATTAACTCAAATAATTTAATTATTTAATTTAAGTTTAAGAAACTTATTTATTTATAATAATAAAACATGCCAAAATGAACATATTTATTTCTATTTTTTAAAGTTGTTTTTTAAGCAATTTTATAACACTTTTTTGCCATTAAAATGAAGCTTTCATAATCCAAAGTCCAAAGTCCAAAGTGAGATTTTATTGGAGCTAAAAAGAACTGGTTCTGGCCGTGCAAGAATAATTGGATCGGGAGGCAGAGCTGCACGATGGTCGTAGGTTGAATTGTTGGTTCGGTTAGTCTCTGATGATTTGAAAAAGGTTTCAGATATTATTCGATCACTCTCATATTTTGTACTTTTGGCTTCTTTAATTTAGGCGTAAAACTACTTCAATTAGTTTTCAGAAAATAGAACTCCAACTTGCAGCAGACAACGTAATTGCATAGCCATTTCTATTCAGGTGAGGCCAATAAAATTAAACGGATAATAGTGGCAAGACATACTTATGTAGACTGGTTTAATCAAACTTTATTTTTTCAGTAACTTCTTTTTTCCAAAGAAAACAATCTTCGGTGTTCTTATTTAGGTATAAAGCACTTATAGGATAGAAAAATATGAAATAAAAAATTGAAATGAACTTTTCTATAAACTTAGACAAACTTATGCATGGGTTAAAAATATGATTTTAAAGATGTAAATAGAAAAAACCTTTCACAAATTAAATTAATTTATTTCAGTTCACAGAGAAACTTATTTAATTTTTCTTATTTTTCTTTTCATAAGTATTTATTGAGAAATTTATCTAATAAAATATTTAGTTTCTTATCACACTATCAACAACTTTGTTTAAACAATTGTATCTTATTTATTTTTGGTTTTACTACCTTTTTGTCTGTATAATTTTATAAATTTTATATACCATTTTTGTTCCTATTTAAATTCCTATACATATCATTTTTTTGTTATCTATTTTTATAGGAATTAGAAGGGAAAATTTATATAACTATAGAGACTTAAAGGAAAAATTTATATTGAATTAGCGATCATAATTTCAGATTCAGATGGTGACATGCATATTGTACCTGGATTCTCTTTCTCTCTATCTCTTCCTTCTAAATTTTGTGTTTAATTACGTTTTTTTCTTGACTTTCTTTTCCTTTATCTTTTATTATATTTAACACTGTTTCTATATTTCATTCCTATATATCTCAAGGTGTATACTACCAAGGAGTATGAAGAAAACAGTTTTTTGGACAAGAAGATGAAAGAGAGTGATAAAATAAACAATATTAAAAGAGAGGAGAATATATAATGTTTACGGGTGACAACTTTCTTACTTTTGAGAATGTGACAATCAAACGAGTCATGTTCTTCCACAGCTGAAGCTATTTATCCCTAGACTCATTTGCAATGTGAAGAGCAAACTCAGAAAGTGACGATTGGAGCTGGTTATTGGTGCTAATAATATGACTCCACATGGCACATACAATTATCTTCAGTATGATATCCACCTTAGAGTTCTATAACTTTGCCTTCCACGTCGTTCATGTACAAAGTCCAGCTGAGGGAAGGTGTGATAAAGTATTCCATCAATACATTTCCAGTACCTTATCCTCCAAGCCTTGCAAAATATAAGAGGCAAAATAATAGTTCCAATCCCAAAAGTGAATCCTAGTTCGCTTGATATGAAATTCCAATCAATGGAATTCTTTGTATCAACATTGGAATTTGATGCAGGAGGTGGTGTCCCTTGCATTCTATCATCACCACAATTGGGGGACAATGGAGGTCCACACAGCCCATCATTGCCTTTGAACGATTCTGTTGTAAATGACTGAATTTGGGTACCTGTTGGGATTCTCCCCACGAGATGATTACCTGACAGGTTCAGGAATGAAAGAAAAGACAACGCTGTTATTTGTGTGGGGATTTTCCCACTCAGGTTGTTGTTTGACAGGTCTAAGCATTCAAGATCTTTCATATTTCCTAATGTTAATGGGATTTGGCCGAAGAAAGCATTGTGTGATAGATTAAGTATGTGGAGAGCATTTAGTTGTCCAAGCCCTTCTGGTATTAGTCCCTCAAATTTGTTGCATGACAGGTCAATGGTGGTGAAGATGGTTAGGATCTTTACTAACTCCACTTGTTGCTGTTTGCTTGTAATTGTCACCCTGTCTTGGTAATAAACATCATAATATCCTAGAACTTCAGATTGAAGATGCCCTAGCTCGGACATTCTCCGATCATTTTCATCAGCTATCATTGCTTTCGAAGATTCAAAGAATCCCAATGGCATTCTACCACCAAAATTGTTGGATGCAAGGTCAAGAATTTGAATATATGGCCATGCTACCTCGGTTCCTCCACATTTGAGTGAGCCATATAATTTATTGGATCGCAGAATAAGAACATGTAAGGAAGATATGTTCTGCAACCAACAGGGGAACCGATCATGTATCTGGTTGTCTCCAATGTCTAAAATCTCCATCATGGCACAATTAGCCAGATATTTTGGAAGCTTTCCTTGTAGAGAATTGCCATTTAGATGTAGTGTTCTTAACGAACACTTGCCAGGAGAAGTATCAATAGTGCCATTGATTTTGTTCCACCCTAAATCTAGTATGCTAAGAGTTCCATTCATTGCAATCAAGCATTTTGGAATTGTGCCAGTCAAAGCATTATTAGAGAGGTCAAGCACTAGAAGATATGGAGCATTGCAAATTGATTCTGGGATATTCCCTTGGAAATTATTGCTTGCCAAAGAGAGAAACTTAGTCTCGATAAGGTATTTGTCAATCTTAGATGGAATAAAAGAGTTCAAATTGTTGCTTGAAAAATCTAAATAGACAGATGATGGGGGTAGAGTTGGAAGAGGTCCACGGAGAAGATTGGAATGAAAATCGAGGGAGAACAAAGAAGACAAATTGTTGAACACAGGTTCCTCCCAGTCAGTCAAGTAGTTATACGAAAGATTAATGTTTTCTAGAAAATTGTTCTTCCAAATCCATTGTGGTATAGTTCCAGCAATATGGTTATTTGACAGGTCAATATATTGTAGTGAGAGATTTTTTAAGAATTGTCGAAATGTTGTCAACTTGCAAGAAGCCAACCGTACGAATTGCAAACTAGGAAATAATGGAAATGGAGTGTGAGGAGAGGATATATCGATTATTGTCAAGTTGTTGTATGAAATGTCAAGTATAGTAAGGTTTCCCAGCTTGTTAAGCATATTGAGCTCTATGGTGCCACTGAACTTGTTGGAAGAGAGAATGAGATCTTGAAGATTCGTGATTTGAAACAAAGACATGGGAATGGGACCTTCTAAATTATTGTCACTCAAACGAAGTGATCGTACTCTAGAAGAGCCATTTATGAAATCATTGAGTTGACCTTCAAATTTATTGTTGGAAAGAAACACCCCATTCAGTGACGGAAGCGTGAATATAGAGGAGGGGATGATTCCAGTGAAGAAATTATTCTCCAAGTTGATGTGATCTAAATTTACAAGTTCTTCAAATTTAGCAGACAATATTGCTCCAACGAAAGAGTTATCTGAGAGGAATATACTTTCGAGTTTCTTGCACATTCCTAAAGAAGGAATCTAGCCAGAAAAGTGATTCTCTGACAAATCTAGTTCAACAAGTTGGGTGAGATTTGATAATGAATTGGGAAGTGTTCCATTAAATTCAGAAGCAGAAAGATCTAGATAGGACAAGTGTCTCAAATTTCCAATTGAATTTGGAAGTGGACCAGAGAAATTTGTGTTAGTTACCATCAAGGTCTGGAGAGATCCATTTGGCGGGAAGTGATGAAAGAAACCATGCAGATCATAATTATCTGATATATCAATATAGGACAATGTTGGTAATTGGAAGATCTTTTCCGGAAACATTCCAATCAACTCACAATCAACAAGCCTCAAGTTGGTCAGACTTTTGAAATAGGCAAAAGTTTCTGGAACTGGAGATGACAAGTGGTTATTACTAAGATCAATGACTGATAGATTCTCAAGTCTTGCAAGGGAAGAGAGAAGTGGCCCTGAGAGGTCACAACTAAACATGCTCAATTCTTGCAGAGTTGGAATTTGCAACAAGGCAGCGTGCCATTCTTGTCCTGGACCTAATATACTCACACCATTAAGATAAAGTTGTCTTACTTTGGTCAGGTTTCGGACAAGTTCTCTGAGACTTGGGTTCACAAGTTTCAACTGTTCTGCCTGTGCTGAAAGATCAAGAGTAAACAATCTTGTCAGTTGAGAAATCTCTATTGGAATTTGCCCCAAAAAGCCAGCATATGCGAGGCTCAAAGAAGTTAGATTCTCCAACTTATTGAATGTAGATGGAATCTCTGAATTGAAGTTATTGTAAGACAAATTCAAATGCTGGAGATATTGGAGACTGAAAAGGCTACTTGAATTGTCAAGTCCACCAGAGATTAACTCTTCACTCAGGTCAAGACCAGTAACATGGCTTTCCTTGTCACAGGTTACACCTTTCCACCGACAACAAGCAGTGCTTTGATTCCATGAACTCAGTTTGTTGGAACTCTCAGGCTCGTATATAAGGTTATTCTTAAACTGCAGCAGCAATGATCGTTGACCCTCAACATTGGCCAGAGACCATGTGGATTGTGAGATACCCCCAATAGAATAGAATGAAGGAAACCGATGAAAATAATGAAATTTTCATTGGCCTCTACACCGAAGATATGGCCACCCGGCACAAGGTTGAAGGAGGAAACTAATGGTGGGGTTTGAAGAAGTTTCAGAAGTTAGGTAAGGTGACAGAGAAGGAAGGAATGAAGGATATATGAGCCAATAAAGTGGCATTTATTGGGTTGGTTGGTCAAAGATGTCATTCATAAATTTCTTGAGAGTATGTTTGGTTTAAAGAAATGTGGAGGAAGAGTGAGATTTAATGGAGGGGAGAAGAAGAGGAAAAACAAATTAATTAGAAGTTCTTTCTGATTAAACGGGAATTTAATAAAGGGAAATGTTTTACATCTCTTATTTTCTTCTCTAAATCTTTAGGCTAAAACTTTATTTTGGTCCTTTATAATAATTGTTTGTTTCAATTTTGTCTCACTTTTATTTTTTGTTTCAATTTGGTCTTAAATTAATTAATTGGTTTCAATTTAGTCCCTAATAAATTAATTGGTTTCAATTTGAGACTTCCGTCCAAATTATTTAAACGGAGTTAACTTTTGGCCACGTAGATGCATACGTGGATGCCACGTGGATGCCTCGTGGATGACAATTTTTTTTGAAAATACCTGGACCCAGAACGGCCCGTTCTGAAACCAGAACGGACCGTTCAGGATGCACTTTTGGTGTGTTAAATTTGCATCCGGAACGGCTCGTTCTAGGTGCAACTATAACACACTAAAAGTGCAACCAGAACGGGCCGTTCTGATTTCAGAACGGACAGTTCTGGTTCCACACTGCTAAACATAAACGATTAATGATTATAGTTTACGATTGTGAATCATGGAAGGAAAAAGACGCAAGGCACAAAGTATTTCAAACACTGAATTTGGTAATATTGTCAACGAAAATTAATAACTTCAATTGCTAAACAGTTAGGCTATACAGTATATTAGTAAGGACAATGCAATGTATCACTAAAGACAATGGTAGCAGATTTTATTTCATTTTAAACTGAAGTGAACCACTTACTACCAAATTGACACTATACAGTAAAAGATGAAATGACATGGTATTTTTCCTTGAAGTCATTAACGATGTACCCCAACAACAACAACATGTTCTTGAAGAGGTAGAACCTGAAGTAAAGGAAGAGGATACACAGGACTAACATTTCACCACACAACCATATGCAGAGACAAATCTAAGTTAATTATAGTGGGGGCACTTGCCCCCACTAAATTTCTTTTCATTCTTTTTTTTTTTTATATATAAAATATTAATAATTTTATAAAATATATATTATTAATTATATTATAATTATGTTGTTATATCTAATATAATAAATATATTAATATTTTTTTAATATTATCCTATTAATTTTTATCATTTTATTCCTCTAATTTTAAATAAGTTGCAAAAAATTATAAAGTGACACTTAAATATTTCTTCAGACAGAAAGAGAAAAAAAAAGTTATTACTCTATTTATAAGATAATTGTATTTTATAAAAATAAGTAATTTTAAAATTTTTACCATAAAAAAATATTTTTCAAAATTATTATATTTTTTTATTAAAATTAATAAAGAATATTATATTCAGTTTGGAACGGGCCCAGAACGGCCCGTTCTGATGTACTGGTGGTGTGTTAATTTTGCATTTGAAACGGCCCGTTTCATGTGCAAAATTAACACACTGCATCCAGAACGGCCCGTTCTGAAAGAACGTGCCGTTTTCAGAACGGGCCGTTCTGGGTCCAGGTGTTTTAAAAAAAAATTGTCATCCACGTGGCATCCACGTATGCATCTACGTGGCATCCACGTATGCATCTACGTGGCATCCACGTGGCCAAAAGTTAATTCCGTTTAAATAATTTGGAGAACTCCCAAATTGAAACCAATTAATTTATTAGGGACTAAATTGAAACCAATTAATTAATTTGGGACCAATTTGAAACAAAAAATAAAAGTGGGACTAAATTGAAACAAACAATTATTATAAGGGACCAAAATAGGGTTGTATCCAAATTTTTATAATATTAGAGAAGAACTAAAATTTGATGAGGAGGAGATTTGTTAAAAATTGAATTAAAAAAAATTTATAAAATTTTTTCCTTTATTTCTCTCAAACCAAAACCAAAAGCCATGTAGGTATTTGCTTTTGCCGTATGGGCTTCACACAGACAGAGAGAGAGATAGTAGCACATAGTGCCTTAGTCAAGTAAACGATGTAATGTGAATATGTGATGTGATTAATGTCCCAAGTCACAGTGATTTCCTTTTTTCTTTTGGTCTTTTACTCAGTGGTGTTGGAATGCTATTAGTCGATGTTCGAAAACGAAAATATAGAATACTATTTGCCAGTTGCCAGAAAGAAAAAACGAGATGAAATGGAAAAAAACGACTCATAATTATTACTGTATTCCACACGCTTGTGTTGCCCCGTTTCCATTTTGTGAAGAATGAGGACCTTTCCACGGTCCAAATTGTTGGTGTTAGTACGTTACGAACGTGTGATTAAATTAAGGTTTTATATGATTGATCAAAAATTAAGGTTATGTGTTACAAGATAACCTAGTAGTGATATAACTTTTATATAAGATTTGTACCTTACAAATGAATTTAGGCCTAACTAATAATCACTTAACCATTAAAAGGACAATTTTTTCAAGTTTAGGACAAGTTTTAGTTATTCACTGTACCTTGTAAAAGCTTATACCAAGTAAAAAAAGGCATTCCATATTACGCATGTCAGAAGAAAATTAAGTGAACCTTGTTAATTGCTGCTGTGTTCTTTTCTACCCCATTTCTCGGGACAGACATTAATAGTTAGAAGTCTACTTACCGTACTTGCCAGAAGAAAAGCAAGTCCCACAAATTCCATAATAATATTTCATCAGCAAAAATTATACTATGCAAGTATAGATTAGTCTGGACTACGTTAGGAAAAATATCATTCCATCCATTAGGAAAAATAGTGCGTGCTCCTTAGCTTATTTCCTCTATAATTTTTCCATTAGTCACCACTCACAAACCGTCATATCTAGATATCTATTCATAGCAACTGTTCAATTGACATAAATTGCCTAGTTTTGGACGTGTGAAATGCTTTTCGAGAAAGTAGAATTTGAAATTTTGAATTATTTTTTATTTTTTATTTTACAATAGCTAAAGGGGTCAGCTTGTGAATGCAAAAGTTTCTGTGGAAAACTAAGCTAAGGAGCAAGCATTATTTATTTATAATAATTACTGAATGGGATCTTTCCGTAGACTTGTGATTTTGTAAAGTTGTTGCCCTTGGAATGGGATAGAAAAACTGATGATTTGTTTAGATACATTTCTTTAGGGTGAGCAAAATGAACTGAACTGAACTTATAAAAATTATACTGAACTTAATATTAGTTCAGACGAATTGAACTAAACTAAATATTAGTTCAGACGAACTGAACTAAACTATTTTTTTGTATCATTGAACTGAACTTAACTATACTATAAAAACTTGAACTGAACTTTTGAATTGAACAATTTTAATTCATTGATCTATCAAAATAGGACACATTTGCCAACTTTACTTTATTTTCCATTTTATTTAAATTTTTCAAAGAAAAAAATATAAAATTAAGTCAAACAAAATCAGTGAATTTTAAGCCTAAAAATAAGTAGTCCAACATAGTTCAATTGATCCGTTAGGTTCGATAAAATTAATACAATTTTTTATTATCACTTTTTTTCTAAAGTTTTGGTTATTAGACTATCGAGTTAATCCATTAAGACATAACATGTTAGACATATTTAATTTCTATCCTTTTATAAAAATAGTTCAATTTTTATAATTCAGTTCAGTTTTATAGTTCAGTACAGTTAATTTTCCAACAGTTCAGTTCAGTTCAGTTTTTTTACAAACAGCTCAGTTTTTTATAGTACAGTTCAGTTCAGTTCACCACCAATCAATTTAGTTCGGTTTTTTTTGCCCACCCCTAGTTTTCTTGGCCTTCTTAGATGGGACATTACACATAGAGGAGAGAAGAGAGATAAATGACACAATGGGGTGAGTTTGATGTCTGGAAATTATGGAGACAAAGTCAAAGACGGTGGACATGGTGGTTGGATAGGAGAAGGAAATCAAGAGAACAGGTGAGAGAGGGGCTGATTGACCGATTTGGGGTAATTTTTAAAACTATTTATGTAAATGGGCTGTTTTCAAACTATTTACTGTAACAGCCCAATTTTTCGTTGGGCCAAGGGCCCAATTCGTTGCCCGGAACGGGCTGTTTCAAAAGGCTCTTTTGTACAGTGTCGCTATGGGCCATAGCGACATACATACCACGTGTATTTTTTGAAGCCATGAAAGCCATATTATGGAAGTCGCTATAGCCTATAGTGTCATTTATTAAATAATTTTTTATAAAATAATTTGTAACAATTT